GAACCAGAACTTTCTGATCAGACCTGAAACGAAAAGATTTTGCTGCAAAATTTATTTTTTGTGAATTTAAACGATTATTTCTTGTATAATTATTGAATTTCTGGCTCATTAATATTTTTTCTGGTAAATTAAAACAAATTCTGCCTTTTATTCAAATCAATATTTCATATTGGTGAATGTTTCCCGCCGAACCGGGCCGGTTCCGCACGGCCCGGTTTCTGATCAGAAGCTTCATGTTGTGTGAATCAAGTCAAGATGATCTTTGGTTCTGGAACCAGTTTGACCATTGAACCCAGTAAGTTCTGATTCTGACCAGTATCAGAAACATTTATCAATATTAATAATGATTATTGATTATTGAGACTGAAACGGAGCGCGCTCAGTCCACTGATCAGTTATTGATTACTGATAGATTATTGATCAGATTGTGTGAACTCAAACCAGAACAGGATCATATTTGGTTCTGGAACCAGTTTAACCATCCAACCCAGTAAGTTCTGCTTTTAATTGTTCTTTTCAGAACCGGATCCGGTTCTATAAAATGCGGATCAATACCTGATCAATTTTACATTTCAGAGAAAAAATGAAAAATGTAAAAAATGTTTTAAAATGTTTTCAAAAATGAATGTCCTGAAACCCGTTAGAACCCGGTTCTGGTTCTGCTGAACCAGTTAATGATCTGGGTCATCATGCTGTGTGACTGATGGATTTAAGATGATCTTTGGTTCTGGAACCAGTTTAACCATCGAAACCAGTAAGTTCTGATCCAGTCTGAGACGCTGCAGATTTAATTTCTCTGAAATGTTTTTATGCTAAAAGTTTAAAAATGATTAAAATAAAAACCCAACCAGAACCCGACCAGAACCAGAACCGGTTCTGTAGTCAGTCCAGCTTCAGATAAAATCTTTAATCCAGATTAAAGATTTTAATTATTCTAATAATCAGATTTTAATCCCATCGGTTCTGGTACCAGAGTTTATCAACCGGACCGGTTCTGATAGTTCTGGTTCTGGAGCTTCATGCTGTGTGAATGCAGGAGGGGGTACAAGATGTTCTTGGTTCTGGAACCAGTTTAACCATTGAAACCAGTAAGTCGAACATTTATTATACATTTGTCACCAAATTAACATTTTAAAAACAATTTGACGTAAATTTGGTTCCGAGACAGAATCCGATTACTGGGACCGACCCAATTACTGGGACCGACCTGATTACTGGGACCAATCCGATTACTGGGACCGACCTGATTACTGGGACCATTCCGATTACTGGGACCGACCTGATTACTGGGACCATTCCGATTACTGGACCGACCTGATTACTGGGACCAATCCGATTACTGGGACCGACCCAGTAACCGGGTCAGTCCGGATCATCTGTTTGGTTCTGAAGCTTCATCCTGTTCTTTGGTTCCAGATCCAGTTTAACCATGGCAACCAGTAAGTTCTGATTTTGTTTTCTGGACTTTTCAGAACCGGGTCCGGTTTGATAACAGAACCTCTGGATCAGGAAGTTACCGGGTTTTATCACATTTCAGAGGAAATAAAAAATATTTTTAAACATCTTTAAAATTCCAGATTAAATTTTAGAACTTCAGGAACCGTTTATCCATAAATCCAGGTTCTGGTTCTGCCGAACCTGTTTGTGTTCTGGGTCGCCGTGCTGTGTGACTGGTTCTGGAGGATTTAATAGGATCCTGTTTGGTACCGGAACCAGTTTAACCATCATTCCCAGTAAGCTCTGATCCAATGGTTCATTTAGTTTCTGTTCTTTCTGAATTTTTTTTTATGCTAAAAGTTTAAAAATGATTTAAATGTTTCAATAAAAACCCAACCAGAACCGACCAGAACCAGAACCGGTTCTGTAGTCAGTCCAGCTTTAGATAAAATCTTTAATCCAGATTAAAGATTTTAATTATTCTAATAATCAGATTTTAATCCCATCGGTTCTGGTACCAGAATTTATCAACCGGACCGTTCTGATAGTTCTGGTTCTGGAGCTTCATGCTGTGTGACTGATGGAGGGGGGTACAAGATGTTCTTTGGTTCTGGAAACAGTTTAACCATCGAAACCAGTAAGATTTTATATTTTTTTCTGTTTCTGAGGAAAAACATTTAAAATCCATTTTCATGAACCATTAAGAGAAACTTTTGAGATTAAATTATTTCAAGATTTTATTTATTTGAGTTTGAAAAATCTGATTTTAATTCAACCCCACAAAATTCTGAGAAATGGAAATTAGGAGAATCAATAATTTTTCAATCCAAATAAAATTAAAATTCTGCTTTAATAAATCAGATTTTATGTTTTATTCCTCATTTTGATCAGAACCAATCAGACCCGATCAGAACCAGTCAGAACCAGTGAGACCCGATCAGAACCAGTCAGACCCGATCAGAACCACTCAGAACCGATCAGAACCACTCAGAACCGATCAGAACCACTCAGACCCAATCAGAACCACTCAGAACCAGTCAGACCCGATCAGAACCAGTCAGACCCGATCAGAACCGGTTCTTGTTGGGAGATTCAGGCTGTGTGACTGGAACTGGTGGATATAAGATGATCTTTGGTACCGGAACCAGTTTAACCATTGAACCCAGTAAGTTCTGGTTCCATCTATTTTCTGGAGTCTTTTCAGAACCGGGTCTGGTCTAGAACATCTGGCTCAGTGAGTCACTGGATCTTTATTTAATTTTTTAGAGACCAAATAATTTTTAATTTGAATATTTTATAGCTAACTTTCATGTGGCACCAGCTTTTCTATAGAACCCGTTCTGGTTCTGCTGAACCCGTTAATGATCTGGGTCGTCATGCTGTGTGACTGATGGAGGATATAATAAGATGATCTTTGGTTCTGGAACCAGTTTTAACCATCGAAACCAGTAAGTTCTGATCCAGTCTGAGACGCTGCAGATTTAATTTCTCTGAAATGTTTTTATGCTAAAGTTTTAAAATGATTAAAATAAAACCCAACCAGAACCCGACCAGAACCAGAACCGGTTCTGTAGTCAGTCCAGCTTAATCCAGATTAAAGATTTTATTTATTCTAAGAATCAGATTTTAATCTCATCGGTTCTGGTACCAGAGTTTATCAACCGGACCGGTTCTGATAGTTCTGGTTCTGGAGCTTCATGCTGTGTGAATGCTGGGAACAAGATGATCTTTGGTTCTGGAACCAGTTTAACCATCAAACCCAGTAAGTTACAGAAGAGGTCCAGTTGACCCATAAGTTCTGGTTCTGAAACGATGAGATTTTCTACGGATCGAATCTGTTTTATGATCCGAATGAAACACGTTCAGAACCAGAATTTCTGCTGAGAAAACTTTCTGTTTGGACCCGGTTCTGAAGTAACTGTGGAACAGAGTAAGTTCTGATCCAGATTGCTATGGTTCTGGAGATATGAATGTTTGGTCTGTTTTCTCCTGAAACTCATCAGAACCTCGACTGAACCGGGTCCAGATCCGGTTCTGAAAGACAAAATGAAAATGAAAAAACAAAAATATTTAATATTTATTCTGACCTTTCAAAGTAAAAGCCTTTTTTAAGGATCAGAAATAATTCACTTCTGGTTCTGATCTGGTTCTGATCCGGTTTGTAAGTTCTGTCCTTCGGCCCGTTTGGACCGTTCATAGTTGCAGTTTGGTTCTGAAGAAGTTGGTTGGAGACAGAACCAAACCCGTCGGGTCTTAGAACCAGAACCGGGCAGAAACTAAAACCTAAAACACTAAATTTAAAAATTGAGAAGGTTCTGCCAGGTGGGCCGACCCGGTTGTCTGGTTCTGGTTCTGCAGCTTAATGTCAGAGCGCTTCACGCTGTGTGAATTCTGGTGGAAACCAGTTCAAGATCCTGTTTGGTACCGGAACCAGGCTGAGCGTTCAGAACCGTAAGTTCTGCTGATTAAATTATTTATTGTTTTCTGGTTCCGATCCTGTTTGGACCGGAACCAGAACTTTCTGATCAGACCTGAAACGAAAAGATTTTGCTGCAAAATTTATTTTTTGTGAATTTAAACGATTATTTCTTGTATAATTATTGAATTTCTGGCTCATTAATATTTTATTCTGGTAAATTAAAACAAATTCTGCCTTTTATTCAAATCAATATTTCATATTGGTGAATGTTTCCCGCCGAACCGGGCCGGTTCCGCACGGCCCGGTTTCTGATCAGAAGCTTCATGTTGTGTGAATCAAGTCAAGATGATCTTTGGTTCTGGAACCAGTTTGACCATTGAACCCAGTAAGTTCTGATTCTGACCAGTATCAGAAACATTTATCAATATTAATAATGATTATTGATTATTGAGACTGAAACGGAGCGCGCTCAGTCCACTGATCAGTTATTGATTACTGATAGATTATTGATCAGATTGTGTGAACTCAAACCAGAACAGGATCATATTTGGTTCTGGAACCAGTTTAACCATCCAACCCAGTAAGTTCTGCTTTTAATTGTTCTTTTCAGAACCGGATCCGGTTCTATAAAATGCGGATCAATACCTGATCAATTTTACATTTCAGAGAAAAAAATGAAAAATGTAAAAAATGTTTTAAAATGTTTTCAAAAATATGAATGTCCTGAAACCCGTTAGAACCCGGTTCTGGTTCTGCTGAACCAGTTTAATGATCTGGGTCGTCATGCTGTGTGACTGATGGATTTAAGATGATCTTTGGTTCTGGAACCAGTTTTAACCATCGAAACCAGTAAGTTCTGATCCAGTCTGAGACGCTGCAGATTTAATTTCTCTGAAATGTTTTTATGCTAAAAGTTTAAAAATGATTAAATAAAAACCCAACCAGAACCCGACCAGAACCAGAACCGGTTCTGTAGTCAGTCCAGCTTCAGATAAAATCTTTAATCCAGATTAAAGATTTTAATTATTCTAATAATCAGATTTTAATCCCATCGGTTCTGGTACCAGAGTTTATCAACCGGACCGGTTCTGATAGTTCTGGTTCTGGAGCTTCATGCTGTGTGAATGCAGGAGGGGGGTACAAGATGTTCTTTGGTTCTGGAACCAGTTTAACCATTGAAACCAGTAAGTCGAACATTTATTATACATTTGTCACCAAATTAAACATTTTAAAAACAATTTGACGTAAATTTGGTTCTGAGACAGAATCCGATTACTGGGACCGACCCAATTACTGGGACCGACCTGATTACTGGGACCAATCCGATTACTGGGACCGACCTGATTACTGGGACCATTCCGATTACTGGGACCGACCTGATTACTGGGACCAATCCGATTACTGGGACCGACCTGATTACTGGGACCATTCCGATTACTGGGACCGACCTGATTACTGGGACCATTCCGATTACTACCGACCTGATTACTGGGACCAATCCGATTACTGGGACCGACCCAGTAACCGGGTCAGTCCGGATCATCTGTTTGGTTCTGAAGCTTCATCCTGTTCTTTGGTTCCAGATCCAGTTTTAACCATGGCAACCAGTAAGTTCTGATTTTGTTTTCTGGACTTTTCAGAACCGGGTCCGGTTTGATAACAGAACCTCTGGATCAGGAAGTTACCGGGTTTTATCACATTTCAGAGGAAATAAAAAATATTTTTAAACATCTTTAAAATTCCAGATTAAAATTTTAGAACTTCAGGAACCCGTTTATCCATAAATCCAGGTTCTGGTTCTGCCGAACCTGTTTGTGTTCTGGGTCGCCGTGCTGTGTGACTGGTTCTGGAGGATTTAATAGGATCCTGTTGGTACCGGAACCAGTTTTCCATTCCCAGTAAGCTCTGATCCAATGGTTCATTTAGTTTCTGTTGTTTCTTTCTGAATTTTTTTTTATGCTAAAAGTTTAAAAATGATTTAAATGTTTCAATAAAAACCCAACCAGAACCGACCAGAACCAGAACCGGTTCTGTAGTCAGTCCAGCTTTAGATAAAATCTTTAATCCAGATTAAAGATTTTTTATTCTAATAATCAGATTTTAATCCCATCGGTTCTGGTACCAGAATTTATCAACCGGACCGGTTCTGATAGTTCTGGTTCTGGAGCTTCATGCTGTGTGACTGATGGAGGGGGGTACAAGATGTTCTTTGGTTCTGGAAACAGTTTAACCATCGAAACCAGTAAGATTTTATATTTTTTTCTGTTTCTGAGGAAAAACATTTAAAATCCATTTCATGAACCATTAAGAGAAACTTTTGAGATTAAATTATTTCAAGATTTTATTTATTTGAGTTTGAAAAATCTGATTTTAATTCAACCCCACAAAATTCTGAGAAATGGAAATTAGGAGAATCAATAATTTTTCAATCCAAATAAATTAAAATTCTGCTTTAATAAATCAGATTTTATGTTTTATTCCTCATTTTGATCAGAACCAATCAGACCCGATCAGAACCAGTCAGAACCAGTGAGACCCGATCAGAACCAGTCAGACCGATCAGAACCACTCAGAACCGATCAGAACCACTCAGAACCGATCAGAACCACTCAGACCCAATCAGAACCACTCAGAACCAGTCAGACCCGATCAGAACCAGTCAGACCCGATCAGAACCGGTTCTTGTTGGGGAGATTCAGGCTGTGTGACTGGAACTGGTGGATATAAGATGATCTTTGGTACCGGAACCAGTTTAACCATTGAACCCAGTAAGTTCTGGTTCCATCTATTTTCTGGAGTCTTTTCAGAACCGGGTCTGGTCTTAGAACATCTGGCTCAGTGAGTCACTGGACTTTATTTAATTTTTTAGAGACCAAATAATTTTTAATTTGAATATTTTATAGCTAACTTTCATGTGGCACCAGCTTTTCTATAGAAACCCGGTTCTGGTTCTGCTGAACCCGTTAATGATCTGGGTCGTCATGCTGTGTGACTGATGGAGGATATAATAAGATGATCTTTGGTTCTGGAACCAGTTTAACCATCGAAACCAGTAAGTTCTGATCCAGTCTGAGACGCTGCAGATTTAATTTCTCTGAAATGTTTTTTTATGCTAAAAGTTTTAAAATGATTAAAATAAAAACCCAACCAGAACCCGACCAAACCAGAACCGGTTCTGTAGTCAGTCCAGCTTAATCCAGATTAAAGATTTTATTTATTCTAAGAATCAGATTTTAATCTCATCGGTTCTGGTACCAGAGTTTATCAACCGGACCGGTTCTGATAGTTCTGGTTCTGGAGCTTCATGCTGTGTGAATGCAGGGAACAAGATGATCTTTGGTTCTGGAACCAGTTTAACCATCGAAACCAGTAAGTTCAAAATGTATTTTTCTAAAAACGTCTCCAGGATTATAAAATGTTTTTGATCTGCACAAATTTTCACATAAACATAAAAAAATAATTTACTGAAGACTGGAAGAAACAGCAGCAGAACCAGTCCAGAACCAGTATAACACCAGTATAACCCCAGGATAGAACCAGTATAAAACAAATATAAAACCAGTGTAGACCCAGTAACCAGAGGTTCTGCTGTGGATTCTGGTTCTGTTCGTCACAGATAAGGTTCTGGAGCTTCATGCTGTGTGAACGCTGCCGGTGGATTAAAGATGTTCTTTGCTTCTGGAACCAGTTTAACCATTGAAACCAGTGAGTTCTGATCCTGATCTTTAATGGTTCCAGTTGTGGAAACATTTGGTCCTAAAATGTTCTGGAGTAAACTTGTAAACTTTAAATCAAAAAGTTCTTTTACTGTTTGGTGATTCTGTCATTGATGCAGAACCAGTTAAACCAGTTTAACCTGTTTAACCAGTATAACCAGTTAGTGCTTGTGTTATAAATAAATGTTCCAGTTGGAGATGATTCAGATTCAAAGTTTCAGAACCAAAACAGTTCCAGTTCAGGAACACTGGATCCGTCCACTGATGGAAAAATAAAACCAGTACAAATCAAATCATTAAAACCAGTTCAACAGTTGAACTGGTTCCTTTGAAGCGGTTTGGTTCTGGTTGGTTCTGCTCAGTTGTTGCTGAGGAGATTCATGTTGTGTGTTTACTGGGAACAAGATGATCTTTGGTTCTGGAACCAGTTTGACCATTAAAACCAGTAAGATTTTATGTTTTTATCTGTTTATTCAGAAAAACATTTACCGCTTTTATGTCATAAACTTTATTTAATCCAACAAACCCAGAAAGGAAAATAAATATCTAAGAACTTTTTTTATTTAAAACAAAATTTTAAAAACCTAATTAACAATCCAAATAAAAATTATGTAATGCAAAAATGAATGAAACAGATTTTGTGTTTCCGGTCAGAACCGGCCAGAACCTGTCAGAACCAGTCAGAACCGGTCAGAACTGGTCAGAACCGGTCAGAACCCGGTTCTTGTTGGGAGATTCAGGCTGTGACTGGAACCGGAGGAGTTAAGATGATCTTTGGTACTGGAACCAGTTTGACCATTGAACCCAGTAAGTTCTGATCCACATGTTGGTTAAAAACCAGTGAAACCAGTGACACAGGTTTACATCTGTGGAGTTTGAATTATGAATTCATGTAGATTCAGTGGAAACTGTGAATTATTTAAAACCGGTGATGATGTCGATCTTCAGGTTGTTACTGGGCAAACTGGGATTTTAAAAGCATTTTCTTCTTTACACTGTAAAAAATATTCAGTTTAATTTGATGGCTAAATTGATAATTTGCTAAAAATGTATTAAAATAAAACATTTTTAAAGTGGATAAAGTAATAACTTAAAACTTTGGAATAATGAAAGTTTAAATCTGACTGGAGCCGGTCCGGTCCGGTCCAGTCCGGTTTGTGCCACTCAGCCTCATGCTGGCTGAGTTCTGGTTCTCCCAGTAAGTTCTGATGGCGATCAGAAACACATTAATAATTAAAGTTGGAGTTATTATTTACAGTGCAGCGTTTTCCTGTCCAGAACCGAACGTAAAAATTAAATTAAGAAAGTTAAATTTATGACCCAAATATCAGAACCAGCTGGTCCAAACGGCTGCTGGGTTTCTGGTACCGAGCTTCATGATGTGTGACTGGAACCGGATACAAGATGTTATTTGGATCCGGAACCAGTTTGACCATCAAACCCAGTAGGTTCTGATTAATGTTGAATTAATTCATAAATTTGTTATTTATAAAAAATTTTGTACAATTTATTAGAATCATTTCATTTATAGTCAACAAATCTGCTTATAATAATTGATTTAAATCGTTTGGATCAGAACCAGCGGCAGGTTCAGTTTGGGTTTTGGTTCTGGACCTCCCTGCTGTGTGAATACTGGAGGGGTGAACAGGATCCTGTTTGGTACCGGAACCAGTTTAACCATTGAACCCAGTAAGTCCTGAGTTTCTCCCTTGGTTAATGTTCTGGTTCTGGTCGACCGAACAAAGATCCGAAACAATCAGAACCGACATTCTGCCCGTTCAGAACCACAAAGATCCAGAAATCATTCAGTTATTAAGTTAAACTTCAGTTTAAATATTTTATTTTTCTCCTTGAACTTTTAATTCAGGAGTTTAGAAACAAAAAGAGAAATAAAAGCTTTTGTCTCGTTTCAGTAAATAGTTTTTATGATGGATCTGCGGTTCCGTGTGAACGCGAACAGGATTATCTTTGGTACCGGAACCAAAGATTTTTTTTTTCTGCTGAAGCCAATAAAGATTTAAACCAGTTTTTATTCTTTAAACATAAAAACCTGATCAACAAAATCTGAGAGCAGAAATCAGTCAGGAGGAAAATCAGACAATGACTTTCAATCTCCCAGAGATTATCTGGTCCTGGTCCTGGTTCTGGTCCTGGTTCTGGTCCTGGTCCTGGTCCTGGTTCTGGTTCTGGTTCTGGTCCTGGTCCTGGTTCTGGTCCTGGTTCTGGTCCTGGTTCTGGTCCTGGTCCTGGTTCTGGTCCTGGTCCTGGTTCTGGTTCTGGTCCTGATTCTGGTCCTGGTCCTGGTCCTGGTTCTGGTCCTGATTCTGGTCCTGGTCCTGGTTCTGGTCCTGGTTCTGGTCCTGGTTCTGGTCCTGGTCCTGGTTCTGGTCCTGGTCCTGGTTCTGGTTCTGGTCCTGGTTCTGGTTCTGGTCCTGATTCTGGTCCTGGTCCTGGTTCTGGTCCTGGTTCTGGTCCTGGTTCTGGTCCTGGTCCTGGTTCTGGTCCTGGTCCTGGTTCTGGTTCTGGTCTGGTTCTGGTCCTGGTCCTGGTCCTGGTCCTGGTTCTGGTTCTGGTCCTGGTCCTGGTCCTGGTTCTGGTCCTGGTCCTGGTCCTGGTTCTGGTCCTTGTCCTGGTTCTGGTCCTGGTCCTGGTTCTGGTCCTGGTCCTGGTCCTGGTCCTGGTTCTGGATGTTGTGTTTGTCACGGTGTGTCTCTTTCTGCAACTCGACTCGTCTTTGGTACCGGAACCAAACTGTTTGTCTGGTCCAGTGAGTTTATTGTTTTATGACATGTTGATATTTTGAATCTTTAAA